ATATACTGATATACGAATTAGTTCGCCTGCTCAGAATGATGACACCACAAGTTCAAATGCTTCGCAACCTTCTATTAATCAACTGTCGGACGTTCCGTCCGCAGAGGTCCAATATACTGATATACGAATTAGTTCGCCTGCTCAAAATGATGACACAAGTTCAAATGCTTCACAACCTTCTATTAGTCAACTGTCGGACGTTCCGTCCACAGAGGTTCAATATACTGATATACGGGTTAGTACGCCTGCTCAGAAGGATGACACCACAAGTTCAAATGCTTCGCAACCTTCTATTATGCAAGTGTCGGACGTTCCGTCCACAGGGGTCCAATATATTGATATACAAGTTGGTTCGCCTGCTCGTTTTTCTATTAGTCAAGTGTCGGACGTTCCGTGCGCAAAAGTCCAATATACTGATATACAAGTTGGTTCGCCTGCTCAGAACGATAACACCACAAGTTCAAATGCTTCGCGTTTTTCTATTAGTCAAGTGTCGGATGTTACATCAACGGAGGTCCAATCTACTGACATGCAAGTTAGTTCGCCTGCTCAGAACGATAGCACCACAAGTTCAAATGTTTTGCAACCTTCTATTAGTCAACTATCGGACGTTCCATCCACAGATGTCCAATATACTGATATACGAGGTTCGCCTGCTCAGAACGACGACATCACAAGTTCAAATGCTTCGCAACCAATTGTCAGTCACAGAGGTCCAATAAACTGATATACGAGTTAGTTTGCTTACTAAAACACAAGTTCAAACGATTTGCACCTCTTGGCAGCCAGTGTCGGACGACCAATATACTGATATGTACCTACTATAGTCAAGAGCACTGAAGAAGTCTATGATAGATGGGGGAATTTTGGTACGAGTTTATCACATGCGGCACACTAACTAGCAGGAATAACGACACATGAGATGATTGCTGGACTTTCATAATGTGTTCCATTGCGCTTACGATAACTTCCCAAGATTATCATCAAATATTTAATAATAGTAAAATCAAGAATTGGGGGGTTGGTTGAATGCGAGAGTGGCAGTTTGGATGATACTGTTTATATGTATTGTGTTCGAAAGTATTTTTTAGAGTGTTGCGTATTAATATGGTCGTCATAAACATCAAATACACGTGTCAAAACATTAAACATTTCAATTATCTCATCTGTATCTGTATCTAAATACCACGTGTTGAAGGAACCAATTTTGCTGAAAAGGTATTTCCATTATACACGATTACTGGTATTAAAATCGTACCGAATATATGAAATATAAGAACTAATCAACGCATATGTTAACATCATTGGGAGCGTAACGGTAGATTCAAGTATATGATATTGTAAAAGTCAATTGAATATCCAGCTCAACATGCTTCTTATGTTTGCTCGTTTACATATTTCTTTTATACGGAGCGTGCCAGACAAAGTGAATAGTAAACCTGTGACGTCACTTGAGATTTTATTTGCTCATAACATTAACTAAAAACTAAAACCAATAAACCTGATAATCCTGCTAGAACACCAAAAACAAGAGGATAACTTAATGGTTTATCTTTATTATTTTCTGATTGCTGATTAATTCTTGTTCTAACTTATTAATTAATTTTTTTATCCTTATAAGCATCAGTATGAACATGAGTTTTAATTTTGGTTAATATTTTTTCTAATTTATCTAATCACTGTTTTGTAAAGATTGCTCGGCTTCCACAATTAATTCAGCTAATTTCTGCTTAATTGGGAAAAGATAGTTTCTCCATCTTCACTTGCTTTATCCATACCTTCAGTATCTTTATGTTTATTTTCTCCATCTAAATATCCTTTTTCCTTTAAATAGTCTTTTTATTCTTGATTTATTTTCTGTAATCTTAAGTCACAAATCTTTTCTCTTAAGTCTTGCCCAACCCTTCAAAACCTAATTTTAATAAATCATCCAAAGAATAATTATCAGAATCAGCAAGAATTTTATAACAATAAAAGCTCTTCTAATGGATCTATTTCTTTAGGAACCACATGGCTATTCACTATTATAAGAAAATTCAGTCATTAAATTCGGACAACTAATATTTTCAATCTTTTTTAATTGATTAAGTTGTGGGCAATTCTTAAGTAATGGTCTCAATCTTCTATTATAATTTTCCAGTCATTAGACAATATTAATATGAACCAGCATCAATTTTATCACTAGACAAATATTCTAACCCCTTGCCAACATTGCATGGTGTTATTAATAGATAAATTCTTCCCAGTCTTCAAAATCTTTAAAGCTTTGAAGTAAGAAAATTAGATTGTAGTTTATTACTGCTGACAGGAGAAAAGTTCCCAAAACATAAATTTTTTATCTTTTTCAAATGAGAAAATAACTAATATCTATTGAAGGAAATAAGTTATTGTAAAGAATAAATTCACTTAATTCTACATTATTACTTATATCCAGTTCCAATAGTAATTTTATTAGCTAGCAATGATATATCCTGTTTATAGATTTTCCTGAAACAAAAACGTGCACGCGTTGTAGAGTAACGAGGCTGATCGATGATTTTATGAGAACTCGCGACACAAAAACTGGTCCATGGGCATTATGTAATCGTTCTCTGCATAGAAAAAACAAGTTTCAATGAATAAAGGCCCTACTATTGAAAATACAATAAGTTATGAACCGCCGGATGACTCGAATCAGTTGATAGAAAGTGAAAGAGAAAATGAAAAACTTATCTATGAATTAGGTGATCTCCTTGTTGCTGTGCATTTCAAGAGGAAGAAGAAAAAGAACATAACCATGTTCAATTTCGGTCACGATTGCATTAAGTGATGAACTAGTTGAGATGCCACTACATGAAATAGATCAGTCAAAAATACTTTCCATCGTATTGTAAACACTTTAGTAATTTTTGATTGAAGCTGGATCAAAATACTATTGGGAACTGAACAAACACAAAGGCCGACCAACCTTTCGGGTGTGCCAGTGCTTACCTATTCTGTTCTCAAAGAATCGAACGACAAACATAAGCGCCCTTGTGATTGCAACGAATCAGTGAAGTACGATTTCCTTGTAATGGAAAAACAAAAAAAAAATTCATTAATAATTACTTATACCATCAGCAACCAATTTACCGCGAAACTAGACTGTCTCAAGTAGCAATAAATTAGATCAAAGCAAATCTAAACCATAATCTTCGCAAGGTAGAAAATCAAAAATCTTGGGTGTGGCTTACAGTCACGGGTCTGCGATAATTTTCGGCATTTACTAATTTTATTCCATACCATAAATCCTCGCTATTCTCTTCCTCTGCTTTAGCGAGCACCTCGTGAATAAAAGTTCCGTTACTAATTTGTTATTTTATCACGTGATAAGATCGCAAAATAAAAAATTATCGTTTTCTTGGTACTCGATTATCAGAAACAGATCGAGTGGACCAATACATAACACGACAACTGCAGTTCTTGGGTTCGGACTGTAAGCATACTGATAGCTAATCATGGATCAGACGCTGGAAGAAGTTGTCAAACATTGCAGCCAGCAACTTGATTCCTATCAACGCTGCATAGAGAATAATCCTCAGGATTGGGGCGTTGCTTGTTTGAAATTTAGGAGCGAACTTAATAAATGTGCTGAAGAGAAGTATGCCCTCTCTGTCATATATCTGGCCTAACTTTGGTTATCTTCCGGCTAACTAATTATTTAATTCAAAAGTGTGACGGAATTAAAACGTGTCAAAGCCAAATGCAGTTCAGTCATTGCAGCGTTTGACAACTGCCTACAGAAGAATCAAAAAGATCCGGAAAAATGTATAAAAGAACTAAAGCAACTGTACCATTGCACAGAAGAAGCTGCGGGAAGGAAGTTATCCAGTCCACCCCCAGAAATTGTCGATAACAAGAAGTAAGGAATGCTCAATTTCGAAGCTTCTGGCAAGCGTACAACGAAAGACATGCCTCGATCAATGTCTTGATCAATAAGTCCCGATCACTTGAGTGGCTTCTGAAGGAAAGTGATCACGAGTATTTGCAAAAGGGAACCGACCCGATAGTTTGCGTGATTATGCTTAGGAGTAGGCATATATGTAAACATGACCCTTAAACAAGTTGCCATTCAAGCGAATGAGCGTAATAAAGGAAATGCAGTATCATAAATGACTGTACATATATGATTAACAAATGCAGAATAATGTATTGAAGTGTTCCGTTCGTTCCTACCAATTGTTCACACGCCCGTTCCAGTGATCTTCTATCACCGTTCATTCGCATTATCGTATTGAAGAAAGATTTCTATAGATAACGTTATTAGCTTGGATTCATTTCCCTTGCAATAGGATACGCATTCTGTCTCTCTGTCTAGGAATCAATGTTTCCAAATAGCACTTTGGCTGTATAGTTCTGGTAGTAAAGAATATGCTAATGCAATTTCTTTAAAATCGAAAGCTATAATCTTATAATTCTGATTTAACTAACTCCTTTTACGAGTAACAGACTTTTGAAATAGCAAATTCCAGAATTCGTCACTGCTGGAAAGAAGAAGTCATTTGTTACACTTGGCGACAAACAGTAGTTTGGTGTTGTTAGTTTGGTGTTGTATTGTCTTTAATTGTTGGGGCACATTCTCTAATGTAGAATCTTCATGTTGCAGTATTTGATTGGTTGATTAACGTTCCTTTATTGACAAACATACTAGATGTTAATGCATCGTCTTTGTTGGATATAATAATAATGATTGACAGCACACAGTGAGTCATAAGCTGTTAACATCAGTCCTATATAAATGGCGATTTAATTATCTTAACGCTTTGCAGATTTATAGATCTATCCACATTTCAAATCCAGTCAGCACCACCGAGTGCTTACTACATAGAGGAATATATTAGCGTTGATGAAGAGAAGCTTCTCTTAGACAAAGTGCGTTTGATTGCTCGTTAAAGAACAATATAGGCAATGTGTCGTATCGTTCTGATTTATATAATTCAATAGGTTTATGCGGCCCCAAAACCGAAATGGGTCACGTTAAAGAACAGAAGGTCAGTTAAGTGTCCACTATCATCAGTTTGTCTATGTTAATATTAATATGTATGTATTTATCAAGCATTTCTACCAACTAGGCTCCAAAACTGGGGTGAGCTTATAGCTTCAATTATGGTTGCCTTCCAGAGGCTACATCAAATTTTCTAGACATAGTTTATTCTAATTAGCACGTTACATTATTTTTCCTTTCAACTAAGGTGGAATACCAAAAGATAGGGGCATGCTCTCTGAACCACTACCATCATGGTTAACAGAGCCTGTTTTTCCAAGGCTGGCGTTTCTCAAAGTGTTTGATAAATGTGCAGCCCATAAGCTTCCAAATCATTGCCTGGTAAATGAATATATCAGTGGTCAAGGAATTATGGTATGCAAAAAAAGAAAAAAGTGCAATTCAGTATTGGAATAAGATATTCACATCAGCATGTTTAGCCGCATGAAGATGGTCCATCCTATTATCCAACAGTTGCAACGGTTTCTCTTGGATCACATACAGTGCTGGATTTTTATAACCATCGTTATCAAAATGCAGACAAGGGTAATATGGATTCAAATTCTCTAGTCTTTTCTCTGCTAATTAAGCCAAGAAGGTGAGTGTTTTATGAATGTCTTATTCTGTCATATATGGATATTAACATATGTTTCCTAACAGTCTCTTAGTACTTCAAGATGATCTTTACAAAAGTTATTTGCATGGAATAGAAGAAAGAAGCAAGGATGTTTTATCAGAGAAAAATATAATTAATGCTGTGGAGGATGTAGGAGATCTTGAAAGGGGAACTAGAGTCAGTTTGACTTTTCGCATTGTTGAGAAAGTCATCAAGGCAAGCTTATTTAATAGGAGAACCTAAATATTTCAATTTGTTTATTGAGAAAGCTTTAGCCACAAAAATTGTATAAGCAATAAATATTGCAAAAAAAAAAGTACACTTCTTTACTATTCAACAATAATGCACAGTATAGCAAAGTAATGTATAAACCAATATATAAGAGTTCTATTTAAAATCAATCATAAAACCAAGTTGGCAAATAAAACACACCTAAACACCATTTTTTTCTACAATTCTTTTTCTCCAATTCTCTAATTCAAAACATGATACACAATCTATCATATTCACTGTTATAAGTTTTGGTAAGTTGGCAGATACTAGAGGCTCCACAACTTTTTGAAAAAGATCACACATGACTAATTCTATTGTTTCCAGATTAACAAGTTTTGAAATGCCCTCAAAAGCGTCACAATGGTCAGAATCAATAAATATAAAAGTAAGGTGATTAAGAGAACTAGCGTGATTATACAATGCTTTATAAACAATCTTAAAATAATGGGGTACCATATGCAAAGGTGGTTCAAAAGAGAATTTTTGTAATTTCTTCTGTGAAGCAATCAATCGTCTAAGTGCAAGCATATCACTTTGAGGAATAAAGTCAGTAGATAAAAACGACAAATGTAAATTAACCTAAAAGATAGCATACATTAGGTAAATTCCAACATATTAATATTTGAGTAAAAACATTCAAATTTATCAAAATTTATTACTTAGCTTACCACATTATGGCATGTATCAGCCAAGCTATTCAGTAAATCAAATGTATAAGACTTGGAAGAAATCCTCAATATCTCCACATTCTTAAATAGTGGACGTATAGGGTGCTGACACAGTAGTAACACATCAGCCCCTGACTGTATTCTCATATCCTCAAGTAGAATTCTATGCTCATCATCTACATCTTCCTCAATAACCAACTTTTGAATAGTTGGTGAATATCTCAAGTATACAAGTAATATTGCAAAAGCAATCTGTCTTCTGTAATTGCAAATGTCCGTTTCATGGTAATAGTCTGTTTGATAATGCTGTACTAGCCATGTTCCAATTGTTTGGTAAAGGTCCCCTATATCAAGAGTCTTCAGGAAAGAAGGATATGGAAATGCTGGTGGTATTTTTGCTTCTGGCAAGTCAATGTCTATTAATTTCCTATCCTCAGGTGTTAGCAGTGATATGATTGTTTCTACTTGGGTTGGATTAGAGATAACTTCACACCAATAATATGAGATAACATTCCTACACCAGTGTCTGTTCACAAGCATGCAAGAGAACAAGTCAAGTTGACTACCAGTATGCTGAACATGAGTAAAAATATTCTGCAGCACAAGAGCTGGGAAGTATCTACACATTGCTTGGGCGTTTGGGTCCGAAGTTCTATAAGCAATTATAAAGCTGTACCAACGGGTTACAAAATCCATTATATAGTACCAATTCGATTTGCACGTGATTGATTGCCAATAAAAATTCGTGTTCTGTAGTGTGTAATCGTAGACTTTGTCTAGATTTTGTAACCCGTAGTAGTTTGAAACAAGTGCTTATACATACATAGAGAAATCTTTCGTTACTCAACGGTGTAAGACAAATCTTTCATTAATCTCATCCGCTTCCCCTACCCTATAACACACTACATTGAAACATTTGCTTTGCAGTTTTTGGTTTCTCTTTGTTTCTTGAGATTTTTCGCCCGTTATTATTATAACCTTTTCTAACATTTTCTTAGCCTATTTATAACCTTGGCTTTCATTGATTATATAGTGACAGTAAATCTAGCAGAATAAGACTGAAAAATTAGCATACTTGTTATATAGTTTGTACAATCAAGGCGGCTATATAAACTGTTACAAACACAAAAGGTTCTATTTATATTTAGGACAGTAATGAGTAATGCAATCTGTCCATTTGGATTGCTTCTTTTATCTTTAATAACAAACAAAGCTTCACAAAAAATGCACTTAGAGCTAGTTAATTATTGACCAGAATTTAGGACTATATCTAATATTAGCAAAGATATCTTTGTTTTCTGTAAAGCTGTCAACTCTCATATTATGTAGTCTTTATTTAACCGGAGGATCAAAATTTGAGAACTTGTTGTTGTGAGCATTATTTTTATAAAAACAGAGGCATAAGAACTAGATATAGAATGCTAGTACTGGGGTTAAAAAGTGTTTTTGGACTAATTTAATTAGATTCTGTCTGTAGTTAACAGCTGATGTTTAAGCCAAAAGAAACGAAAATTAGCTAAGTCAATAACAAGCAAAAGGCAAATTAATGATAGCTGGTGAATATTCTTATCAGTTAATGAAAGGTTGTAAGCAGTGATGGCCGCTTGCCATCACAATTTTGTAATAATGGTCAAACAGCAATAAATAGTGATAGGGAATACAATGTCTACGTTTAATATTTCACTTGTTTCAGTAACATTCTAATCTTATAAAGGCAGTAATTATTTCATTGTTATACCACAACAAACAAATGTCAATAAATTGTTTGATTCACAAGTCTCATTACGGACTATAGTTTAACATTGCCTGGTTTTGTTATTCTAGCTTAGCTGTACATAAGTTTGAATATCATTCAATAAGCTTTACAATAATTTAAATATACGTCATATTTACAGTAAATTAAGATAATTATATTTTTCAAAGTATTGCTCATATTGATTAGCGTATACAGTATGATATTCAATTGAGCGTATAAATTATAGCTTATTCTTTGATGTAATTGACAGACTTTGCTTGGACTATTTAGACCTTATCGTATGTTCACGTTCAAACTGTAATTAGAAACTTTAAAAGCAATTGTCATAGCATTGTAAATGTGCAATGACGTTGCGTTGCTAGCCTAGGCTGCATTGTAAAGGTATAAATTGTGCTTATTTCGAAACGTTTAACAAACGTGCGTTTGGGCGCTATTAAATAATTGATCACCAATAAATAACAAGTTAATTAACCGCTCTAACAAAGTATTTCCATTAGGTCCTATTTTTTATGAGCGGATTAAAACTCTAACTTTATTAATTAGTCGTAATGTATAATTAAAAAAAATTGTATATTGATTTACGCGTTGTTTACATTATGACCCTTGCAAATATAGTTGTGATCGACTAGCTAAATAGGGATTGCAATATAGAGGCTTCTGTTTTTTGGTCGATACTATAAACGCTATTGTGGACTAGTGTTATAATGATTTAAAATAACAAAAAAAATTGTAAATTTGCATCTTTAGCTTAATACATCTGAACTGACCGAACTAAATGTGTCAAACTACATTCTTACGATAAAACAACTCATGATTTGAACTCGATCACGAAACTTTTGTCAGACATGCAAACGTCGAAACAATTATTAACAAAAACACAAGATAAAGTCTTTAAAATATATAAAACATGTTCTACAAAAAATAGGCTCAGCGTTAGTTCATTAGAAGTTTGTGCGTTCCACTGAAAAACAAAATAGTCAAATGGTAGTATGACTCTAATATATTCACAAGATGATAGTCTGCGCAATATTTCAAAAATAGAGGAAATAATTTCATCAGTCAGTCGTGAAGGCTAAGCTATCACTTAAGCATTAGACTTGATATGAGCAAAGTGTCATTTAATTGAGTGATATCGCATGGTTTGCATAGTATTGACTATTAAATGACGATGTATGATATTAAGTATACAGTAATTAATGACGAATTCAGCGCTTGGTTAGTTCTATATTACTTTCAATATTAGATCAACTTATAATGACTTAGTAAATTACGGTTTAAAGTTTTTTATCAAGCCGCCGCTGCATATTAGAGGGCACATGTTTGTCATCAGTTGCAGAATTATTTTGTTAAGCCGATTATTGTCAAGGTTTCCAGGTTTTTGGAGCTTAATTAATTCGTCTAGATATTACTGTAAGGTCAATAATTTCATAATTATTATAAATATTTACCTGATTGGTATTATCTGGCTTCTTGGAGAGCTTCTAATATAATTTTTATATGGTTATTCTGCCATCACTCTCACTATCACTGCTTAACAATCATATAATCAGTCAGTGATTATCTATTAGAATATTGAACTGCAAATATTAATCTCCTTTCCATGCAAGTATATACACTGACAGAGGAAGTTAAAGTTGAAGAAAGTCTGTTCTGTGTGGATGGTTTTTAGATCAGCTTCAATTGTAATAAATAATTGGCATGCTTTTAGTACCCATTGAAGCCTTACATAGACATTTTGAATGACAATGTTTTACCTTTTATTTCATTCAAAGCTTTAATGCTAATCTTACCATTTTAGCACGATATGTCCTATTCACACAGCACAGGGGTTTAGGCCTTGATCAATCGCCAGATTTGAAGTCCATTGATCATTTACAGGATAACTTGCATAATGCCTTGAGGATTCAAAGGAATGACTTTACATAATACTTGCCAGTAACATTGAAGATATCATCTATTAAAACTTTATTTCTTCCACTGTATGTTGAGAACGTGGTTTTTATTTCTAATCACATAAGGGAAAAAGGTCTTGAATACCCAATGTCTTGAGGACAGGATCTCTACAAACTGTGTATCTAATATTATCTTACTCTTTGGTGATGCATACTGAAGAGTTCCCATGTTATAATCCGCAATTATTGCATAATATTTAGAGTCACTGGTTAGATCTGTTTATTCTCAAATCAAAAGCAGGAAAGAGCTCATCTCATACATGATTCTATTTTATAATATAACAAACTTTACTCTGATCTTTTGTATCTGAATAGTCCTATTGATGTCTTTAAAATAGAACTAAGTTATAAAGTTTTGTGTGCCTACTACTACTACTACACAGGTTTTATTGCATATCATACTATTTTAACCTAATGAACACTTGTAGTATGTATTTCTCTAAATACATAGTTATGCTTCATCATACATAGCAAGGTTGTATATTACTGTATTAAAGGTACCTAAATATAAACTATTGAAAAACATAATATTTGGGCAGTTATGATCTTGGTGTTATAGTTACTGATTATGTAGTTTGCAATTGTGTTGAAAACCCTTTTATTTATAGATTAACCCATTTTTATCCTATAAGCTCAGACATTAAATGTCTCTTTATTTATTTAGTCTCATTCTTTTCAATATGTAAAAAGCAAAGAAAAGTTAAGCAAGTCAAAACTGATGAGACATTCTTCAACATCAGTCAACAGTTAAATTTGAGAAAAAAATGCAAAAAATACCTTATAAAAATTTAAAACAAACTTTATAAATATGTTTCTTCTATCACATATTGATTTCCTCAGCCCATTCCTTGATTGGTTGAGAATCATAACACTGTATAATTTCTACCTTTTGAAGATTAGGGAACATTCCTCTTACAAAAGGTGAAGCAAGCTGTCCTTTAACATACATGCATCTGTTAAATTCAAGGTATTCCAACTTATGGAATTGATTAATATACTCCAAGGGATTCTTATATTCTTTTTTATGTTGAAACATAATGTCCTTGAATGTAAGAGATTGTAAAGAAGCAGCATACTTTAACAGTATCTTGCTCATTTTTCTAATATATCTTCCCTCATTATATGGCTGAGTGGTATATGTAAACTTCTTCAGATTCAATTGGCTCTTTATCAATCCAGCAATTGTATCTTTCCATTTATCATACTTATTGTTGTTCCATTCTTCTTCGATAATTATTTCCGTCTTAGGAACAAGGTAGTAATTGTTCGCTGTAAGCATTGATGTTAAAATGCCGCAAACTAAACGGCCACTTAATTAACTTACCAAAGAGTTACAGTGCTCTCGCATTCCATCATAAAAACTTTGAATTGAAGTGCCTGTTATCACCTTCACATATAGTTTCTGGGCCCTGGTAAATAAAGGATTGAATTTCGTACGCATGGCCGAGATTATATATTCATGGCCCGTATAAAAGATGTTCTGATTATTACTGAGCATAACTTCTTGCACTGTAGCATTGTACTTGCAGTAGAGATTAAGAAGGCTGTCCGCCAGAGTATGTCGTAATCTGAACCATTCATCAAAAGGTACGGTACACTTTTGAACGCCTTCTTCATGCGAAAGCCATTTTTCGAGCGTAATATGTAAGTCTGAGGCATTGAATCTAGTAAGAAAATATGGGTATGGATACATGGGCGATGGGTTATGTTGCGGAAGCTCGAAACCCTTGCATTCTATTGCCTCATCTATTAGAGATATAAGTGTATTAGCTTTCTTAGGATTCAACGAGACGGTCTCCCAGAGTAGCCTGGCTGCATTTTGACCCCACTGTTTGTTTATATACAAGCACGTATACAAATCCTTCGTCGTCAAGTCTTCATATACGTTAGAAATAACTTCGTTGGGAAGAACAACAGCCATGATGAAAACGGTGACGGGTAAGGACTTCGATGAAAGCTTTTTATTGTGTACAACGAAATTTGTGAAACCCAGTAAATGGAAACTCAGCCACCTGACGTGCATGCGCCCATCATTGCTTTACAAGGAAACAGCCACCCTTCTCATCTTCAACTATACTACCGACTTTTTCACACAAAGTTCTCATTTTTTGTCCTAACCATCCATATTCCTTCTCATGTCTGTTCAGAATATTTACTTGAAGGTTTTTAATTTGCACTGGTGTGAGACAGATACGATCGAAAGTAATAGATGTCAAGTTCTTCGGAGATACTTGAGCATTAGGCGCAGTCGTAGTGAGTATTACAGTGTAAATAAATCCTAAATCGTTACGATACTCTGTAATCGACATAGAGTAAGCAATGAGAAGACTGCACATAGTAATTACAAAAATAAAAAATAAAGCAAATAAAGAAATACCTTCATCGACTGCGTAGTCATCAATAAAGTCTAGTGTGATGGTGATAACGATTGCACAGCATCAGTGAATTGGAAGTACAGATTACCATTTCCACATGAACAACAATGAAACAATAGTCTTGCGTTTGTCAACCTATATTCGTACCTCCGCAGCCGTAGATAATCAATTTGCCTTTGTAAAACTCTAGCGCCTTTACATGATGACTTGAATGACCATGAATAATATCAACTCCCTTAAATTCCATAAATAGCTAGTTAGTAATACTTAACATTTCTGGTGACTTTGTAATAAAGCTAATAGGTTTGTTAATGAAACTTACTCACCGCATCAATAAGCCCTTTGGCAAATTTAACGTAAAATTGGTCATTCTCCCACTGATAGTTGGGTCCCCAGTGTAAAGAGAATACCACCAAATCGACAAATGATCTGTATCTACTTACCAGTTCTTGCGCTTCTCGGGATTAACGTAATATATTCCACTGCGATGGACATTCTTGCTTTCTATAAGAGTTAAAAACATTGTTATTAACGAAAAGATATAAGCAAAGAGTTGTAATCGATTCACCACCAGACGTTGTTGGATGCGCAGCCCATTCTTGAGGATGATCTGATGCCGAAAAGCAAGCAATTCGGAGACTGATTCCTATCAGAGACATAGTTCGTTACATTCAACTTTCTTAGAATGCGTCAAGCGGTATTGCTACTTGCCTTCCCTATCCTGAAAGTTAATGATACATGGCCTCATAGCTTCATTCTGATCTTCACCGACACCAGCGTAATTAATTTCATTTGCATTTAAAGATTCGACGGTATCCTTGTATCCTTGATAATTGTAATCTAGCACATGATTGTTTGCTAGTGATAAATACAGTGGGTTTGCACGCGAAGTATACGGAAGCTGGACATGATTGAGCGTGGAATCATGCGAAAGAATGGAAGACGAATATGGAACTAAGTTGAGTATTGCTTGGATGTGCTGTTGAATGATACGGATAGTAATTAGATGATGAAAACCAGAAGGGTTCTCTATTTTCAAAACCGATTCAATACCTCAGGAAACATTCGGAAATTAAACGTCTTGGGCCACTTTACGCTGTGCTTTGTAATCGACTAAGTTGAATAATACGATTGCAATGTATAATCTTTTCTTTGCGAAGAAAAAAAAAGATCCGTGTGCCCCAATATTAAGAGACAGGCCAACTTACAGTTTCGAGATTCCCTGAATGAATTTATAGGACGTTGCGTTGTGGAATTCAATCGATCAGATGATTTGTAGATAAGAAATCAAATTCCAACGTCTTGGCTTCGCATTTATTATATTACCAATAAAAAAGTCACAATCCTTTAGCACATCGAGTGTGTTGCCATATGGATATCTTATTACGATCAAATTACTTTTTATTAATATTAATATTTTAGAATATCAGGTTATATAACCCATCTGTGTTAAGCTTACGTGTACTTGGTCGGCCATCGTCCTTCAAATATCTTCTTGTTGATCAACCGATCAAGCATAATATCCCCAACAATATTAACTTTGAATTGTCCAGTAGCTGCTGACATTTCTTTTGTTCAAATAAGACTTACCGTGGGGATGTCGCCACTTTATACGCTGAGCAAGCGAATCAGCGACATTGTGATGTCATCCATGTATGCTGAATAATTACATGTAAACACGTGATAAACAGGGAAACTAAATATATTTAGCGACTTGCGTTATTTTTAGACTAAATATCTCCTCATACACGTTTAACTAAAACGTCTTATAAATCATGCAGGCCTCGATCCCGTTCCTTGTATCGCTTGGACTGGTCGCTATTATAGCGCTTGTAATATATGGCTATACTAAAAGACTCAAACGACTGCGCATTGATTCGTCTCTCAAAGAGTATACGATAATACAAGGCGCGCAAGAAAATCTTTCAGCCAATATACAAGCATTTAAAGCACGTATTGCTAAGTTTGAAAAGCGTGTCTCAAATTATCAACAACAAACATCCGTAACTGATCAATATGTTGTTGATAAGGAAGATAGCGGGCGCAGAGAAAAGGAAAATCAGATTATAACAAAGGAAGTTAGTGTTATCTTCGAAAACGCAACGCAGGTTATTGACGAGGTTGAGTCGAGAGTGCAACAGCTGGAGGAGAAGAAAGCGCTGCTTTTAGGTCAACTGAGAAAAGACGGAGCAATTGAAAAAGTTGATAACATTTTGGAAAACAAGCGTGAGTAGATATAAGTGAGTTTATCATTTTGCCAATAAAGGAAACTGTAACACGGACGACAATATTGTTCTAAGCCACCTAAAGCTTTGGTTACAATGTCAGCATTTACACTTTTTTTATAACGAACAATTTGTTTCAGTCCCAAGATAATGCACTAATATTAGACTAAGACCTGATTCTCGGCTTAAACCCGTATGAATAATTACAGTTAAACCGCAATCAACGTTCAATTGCTTTTTACAATCTATGAATTATGATGTTTGTTAAACTTTGCACATTATTTAAAGCTGGCTTGCATTTTCTACTAAGATTTGATGATGCAATAAACTGACCCCATGTTTTACAAGAAAAACATATTGATAGGCATTTGAAGAGATTATTTTCATTTTTTACATTTTGTAGTCATCATATTTATTCATTTGCAAAGACTTTTAGATTGCATTGTTTAGAAATCATAAAATTGTAAAAAATTAAAGTTCTAGTTAATAAATTAGAAAAGCTATTTTCTAATTAAACCTTTTTATATAATATTAGTTTCTTAGTAGTTTGCATGCACTTAATGACGATAACACTAAATAACTTGCCCTGAGTGTTTAAAACCTACTCCTCCATATTAAAATATCAATTAAAGAGAATATTAGAGACTAAAAAATCCCTAACTTTAAACTAAATTGCTGTTTGAGTTTTAAGCAAATGAATAAAATATCTATATCAAAAGTCTCTAATTTACATAAGTATATTGGACAATGTTGTAGAGTCCAAGATGGCAAATTTACTGCTGTGAGAAAAACACATATTTCAATATTATTCTATAATATTGTATTTGAGCAATTACTAGCTTATGGCCTAATCACAGTATCACACCAAAATGTATAATTGTCATTAAGGAAGTCGTCTCTAAGCAATCAATACCGCACCAGTTTAAGGATACTATTGTTAGGTACTAAGATGAGATGACTAATGAAGTAGTAGAGACAATATTAATGCATGCAATACAGGATGTAGAGAAATGGCAAAGTTAGTTTACTTAGGAATAGATTGCGCTGAAGAAAGTTTATATATTGGACACTTGCTTTACTGTTTCAAACTGTAATTAGCAGCGAGTTCAAAGATCAAAGTTACATGCTGAGATGCGCTCTTAGGAAGGAGAATGTTGCACTATAACAATAGACTGAACCCAAGCCCAAGGCTGAACTAATAACATTCACATGTCATATTTTCCTATCTTATCTTGCAACCGTTCTACGTAATACTAAACAAATCAAAAAACCAAAAGACTGAAAATCCCAACCATCCATATACCTTTTTTTTCTCTGATGAGTTTTCTTTGTGACCGTTTTATTTGTAAAGAGTAAACTTCTACTTTTGCGCTACATCGATAATATTAAAAAATTTTTAAGAAAATAATTTCTTAACACGGGAGTGAATAAACGAACCGTGTTCAAAGGACTACCCAAAGAACTAACTATATTTCAATGAATAAGACACCCAAGCCCCAAACGAGAACATGTCAAACTATCCATGAATGAGTGAGTCTGTACGATGGTTAAAGGGCGAGGCCCTAACAGAACATGCCAGACATCTATGAATGGGAGTGAGTTTGAGCGAACCACGCTTAAAGAACGCATCAACCCAAAGAACTACATATACTTCAATAAATAAGACGCCCGGCCCAAGCGGAACATGTCAAATCATCCACATGCCCTGTGTTCTCCATAGTGTGTCATTGCGAGCATCTTTTCCTGATCTGCGGAAGGATGTAACGAAGATTTTTCATGGTTGCTCTTCAGAAAATATCATATTGTTATTCGTCGATTGTGTGTGTAAGTAAAATACCTTGGCGAAAACATTAACCGCTTTTATAGTAGGGATTTCTCGCAAATTGCACAGCCACGCCACGTACAGTACGCAGTTCATAAGAACATAAAGGTTACATGTAATGCCAAAACGAATATTAATTGGTACACGTCAAAATAAACACCGCATTTAACTATAGGGAAAGAGATTATTTTGGAGCTATACAGTCAGTATTATAGGATAATTCTGCAACTCAGTGTGTTCACAGCCACATTTTTTTATCATCAAACGCGTGTAAAAAAATAAATAAAAGCGCACGATTCTCAACTGCATAACATACCGCCGCATATGTCCCTCGAAAATAAGCACCTTCCACAATTTTTCTAAATGTTTCTATAATATAGCATATGACGGGTTTATATTTACACATTTGTAATTTGACATTGATGTATTATCATTATCCAATCACGAGTTCTTATGACAATAACATTCGATTTTGACCAGTGAAAAAGTTTTATGATGCATTACATGTAACCTTTATGTTCTTATGAACTGCGTACGTAGGTGGCTGTGCAATTTGCGAGAAACTCTTACTATAAAAAGCGGTTAATGTTCGAATCTTTAACGCAACATAAACCCTTTCGCCAAAATCGACGGATAACGATATGATATTTCCTGAAGAACAAGCCATGAAAAATCTTCGTTACATCCTTCCGCAGATCAGGAAATTTGACATGTCCGTTTGGGGCCGGATGTCTTATTCATTGAAGTATAGTTCTTTGGGTTGATGCGACCTTTGAGCGTGGTTTGTTGAAACTCACTCCCATTCGCCCTTTAAACATCGTACAGACTCACTCATTCATGGATAGTTTGACATGTTCCCGTTTGGGGCTTGGGTGTCTTATTCATTGAAATATAGTTAGTTCTTTGGGTAGTCCTTTGAACACGGTTCGTTCACTCACTCCCGTGTTAAGAAATTATTTTCTTAATATTATCGATGTAGCGCAAAGAAAACTCATCAGAGAAAAAAAAGGTATATGGATGGTTGGGATTTGGTTTTTTGATTTGTTTAGTATTACGTAGAACGCCCTACGTCTTGGATTACATATATTGTCTTTACTACCACTAGTCATCTCATTTTGCTTAACGAAATAATTATGCCGTTCGTTACATGACATAACGTGACGTGTACTCTGTCTCACGTGATAAAATTTCTCAGCGCGGCGCAGATAAACAACTAGTGTGATCAACTTTATGTAGTTATCTCCAACTCAACTGCACTACCTTCCATGTCACGACGCAAAGTATACGAATTATCTGGTTCAATCTCTAACGACTTGTTGAGATCTTTCAGTGGCTAATCGCAATGTTTTAGAGTTAGATATAGATGTCTCTTCTTCGACTCAATATCAATGCAATATGTGTCATTTAGTTCAATCTCCAATGATTTGTCGAAGAAAGCTCCCCTTCGACCCATTGCGTATACATCATCATTTGGTTTGATTTGGTGAACTCATTCAGTGCATTGTCATATTGTTTTAAAAAATAGATTTTTCAATGCACAGGCATCGATTTGTCAGTGCATTGTTATACAACAGCTGTGTCCTTTATATAACAGCTTTAGAGCCTTAGTTGCGTCTAATAAGGACACTATTGTTATATTTGGCTCTACATACACAACTCCCCTTGTTGAGATCATGTAGTGCTTTGTCGTATTTAATGCATATGCGTCATTTGGTCAGAGCCTTGTCAGATTTATATAGAGAGCTCCTCTTCAACTCAATGCGTATACATCATTTGGTTCTATCTCCAATGCTCCCTATTTTTCAATGCCCCTTACTATTACATTGTTTGGTTTGATCTTCAACGATTTGATCCACCTCTTCACGCAGGTAGAACTAAACAATTTCGGCCTCAATTAAGCTGCTGATATATATATGAATGGCCCGAGTACTTTTTAATTCAAAACGACACATTTTCGCCTAATTTTTTGTCCAAAATGTTATATATATATAGGTGACATGAGTATTTGGAAAAAGGTTGAAAAGTGCAATGTGTGATTGTATAATACTAATTTCAGCAAGATGGCGTCCATAAGTCAGTTGAGCATAAAACTATCCGAAATGTGTCATAATAGAACGGGGAGTTGTCAATACCGGAATGACCGGAATATTTTCAACATACATTTCTGACAGAGAATGTGTCATTTGGAATTAAAAAGTATTCATATCATCTCTATATATGTAACATTTCAGCCAGGCACGTTTTCAAAATTAGGTGGAAATGTGTTGTTTGGAATTAAAAGTACTCATGTCATCTCTATATATGTTACATCTCAGCCAGGCAAATTTAAGCGGAAATGTGTCATTTGGAATTAAAAAGCACTCGTGTTATCTATATATATGTAACATTTCGGCCAGGCACGTTTTCGAAATTAGGCGGAAATGTGTCGTTTTGAATCAAAAAGTACTCATCTCATCTATATATGTAACATTTTATCAGGCATGTTTTCGAAATTAGGCGGAAATATGTCATTTGAATTAAAAAGTGCTGCGCGGGTTTTATGCTTTTATCGGTTTTTTATGCAATACGGAAGCCAGGTCGCCGTTTCAGTCAATGTCATCTCTATATATGTTACATCTCAGCCAGGAAAATTTAAACGGAATGTATCATTTGGAATTTAAAGTATACATGTCATATATATATGGCCAAGCGGAAATGTGTCGTTTTGAATTAAAAAGTATTCATGTCATCTCTATATATGTTACACCTCAGCTAGGCAAATTTGAGCGGAAATGTGTCATTTTGAATTAAAAAGTATTCATGTCATCTATATTTATGTAACATCTCAGCTAGGCATTACAGTACAACTGAAATGTGTGTTAGTTGAACAATGCCGTATTTAAGGTGAAATCTATGAAAACATTACAGAATGGCTGAAATGTGTTATTTTATGCTAATATAGATTCATCTCAGATGCTGAATGCTGAAATTGTCAGATTTAGTGCTGGCAGTTTTGGACTACTTCTACCTGTGTCAGAAGACTTCAACCTGTGTCAGAAGACTTCAACCTGTGTCAGAAGACTTCAACCTCTTATAAACACTTTCACAAAAGGGCTGGGTAATATACCACAGAAAAAGTAACATTGAGAAAGACAGCAAGAGCCCAAAGCGCAGTGGGGGTTGCATCGAGCAGCGGTCGACGAATGAT